TTAATGAAGAGGCTCTCTTTTCTCCCAAGTAAGTTTTTGGTACCTTTGTCTAGTATGAAATAACTGTATTTATGTGGGTTTGTCTTTGTGTCTTCTGTAACATTGGTCTACATATCTGTTGTTTTTGTTACTGTGGCTCTGTGGTATAATTTTAAGTCTGGTATTGTGATGCCTTCTGCTTCATTTTTTTTTTTCTTGCTAAGGATTGCTTTGGCTATTCTGTGTCTCTTATTTTTCCAAATGAGTTTCATTATTGCCTTTTCTATTTCTATGAAGAATGCCGTTGTGATTTTAATAGGAATTGCATTAAATCTCTCCAGTGCTTTTGGTAGTATGGCCATTTTGGCAATGTTAATTCTGCCTATCCAAGAGTATGGGAGATCTTTCCATCTTCTTCAATTTCTTTCTTTAGTGTTCTATAGTTTTCATTTACAATGTGCATTTTTAACTTTACCTCTACCTGTCAAATATTATTATACCAATTTACATGTTAATATAAGAACCTATTTATTTTCATTTGTCCCTCCTCATTCTTTTTGTACTTGTTATCAACATTTTTCACACACATACACACACACATACACAATTAACCTCACAATACATAGCTATTACTTCTATTTTAAATAGTTATCTTTTTATAACATATTGAGTAAAGAAGTCTTCTATAGTCTTCTTGTATAGTACTCTTTATGCCTTTGTGTAGCCTGAGCTTCTCTTTGGTATCCTTCAGTGGAGCTCATCTGGCTATAAATTCTCTTACCTGGTACTTGTCTTCAAATAGTCTTTATGTAATGCTCATTTATGAGGAGTATTTTCTCTGGGGTTAGAATTCTAGGTTGACAGTATTTTTTGCTTTCAGCCTATTAAAGATGTCTTTCCATTGTCTTCTGGCTATTATTTCTTTTGATGAGAAACCAATGATTACTCTTAACTTGTCTTTGTTTTCCTGTGAGTAAAGTGTCTTTTTGTTTGTTTTCTGGATACTTTCAAGATTTCCTTCTTATCATTGGTTTTGTTTTCATTATATTAATTTTGATGTGATTTTCTTTGGTTTTTTTTTTCCTTGCCTAGGATTCATTGACCTTCTTGGATCTGTGAGTTTATTATTTTCTTCAAAMTTGAAAAATGTGGTCATTTAAAAAAATATGTACTATATTGTGGTTCTTTTGTGCTTTTAATCATATTACCTGAAATTTTCCTGTAGCTCACTGAAGCTTAGTTTTCTTCCAGTACTTCACTTTGGATAGTTTCTGTTATTATGCCTTTCCATTCACTATTCATTTCTTATGCATTGTCTAATATGCTGTAAAACCTATTTATTGATTTTTTTCATTTTTCATTTTTTATAAATTCCTTTGGTTCTTTTATTATTTTTTCATTTTTATCATCATTATGTTCATGATTATGTTTTCCTTTGAATATATTTATAATAGTATTTTAAAAACATTGTTTGCTATTTCATCTTTGTAATTTCTGGGCTTGATTCTATTGATTTTTACCCTGGCTTACAGCAACATTTTCCTCCTTTCAAATATCAAGTGCTTTTTGACTGATGCTTGATTTCATGAATATTGCATTATTGTGAATGTCTGGATTTTTTGCTTCCATTATAGTGCATTAAATCTTTTTTGGCAATCATGTTACTTGTGGATCAGCTTGACCCTTTCAGGCTTTGTTAGGGAGACCCTAGGGTGGCCTTTTCCATGTTAGCTTAGCCCTATTACTTAGGTGTGACCTTCCCAGAGTATCTATTAAATGCTTCAGTGAATTCCTCCACTTTAGCGGTTAGAACTAGAACGTCTCCCAGCTAGGTATAAACTCTAATAATTATTTAGTTTATAGTCCCTCCCAGTCAATCCATTCTCATGGAGATTTATTTACCTTAGACATGTTTGGCTTAATATAAAGCTAAAACCAAAAGAGAATCCTACTTAGATTTTTATAGCTATGATTGCACAGCTCCTGATTCCTTGGTATTCTACCTAACAAAACAGCACTTTGCCTCTTCAAGCTATGGTTTCTGTCCCCTCAACTAAAAACAAAAAACAAAAACAAAAACAAAAAAACCCCCGCCCTGCTCTGCTTATCTTTCTCCTTTTTGGACCAAGTCTGAGATTGTGTTCAGGCTGAAAACCAAGTGATCATGGGACTATCTGCATTATTTCTCTTCTCTCACGAAGCACTGTCCTCCCTACATTATCTGTAGTTCACTTTCCCAAATAGTTGTTTTATATATATGTTTGTGTGTGTGTATGCGCGCGCGCACACACACACACACACACACACACACATTTATTTATTTATTTATTTATTTATTTATTTATTTATTTATTTTAGTTTTCTAGTTGTTTGTGATGGGAAGGCAAGTATAATATCAATTACTCCATCACAATTGGAAACAGATTTTTGTTGTGCTTTTACACTGTCTTTTGTTACTATTTTTGAGTGGAGCTCTATTATTGATACTGCTGGTGATGAGAATCAATCAGGGCTGAGTTCCATTTCCCCAGATATGAAGTTTGAACACCTGAGAAACGCCTTGAAAGGAAAGCGTAGAAAGCAAGTTTTATTTGAAGGATAGAACAGAGATAGACTTCTCCACAGAGAACGGGCAGAGAGCTGGGTATTGGAGGAAGTGGGGGTGTCCTGTCCCTTTTACACATTTTAGATTTTCTTTGTTCTCATGCTCTCCTCCTCCCTTTATCTTGTCTACGTGACCAGATGCCAAAAGATAGGTGAGAAGAAAGCCTTTCAGGAGGTGCCTCTCTGGGGCTGCCCAAACAGGGCAGGAAAGAGGGCCGCCCAGGAGGTGCTTCATTAACAACCTTTTGGGAGGAACAGTTCTCTGGAGGCAGGTAACCTTGGCACCAGATTGGGGGGAGGAGGGGTAGGGCTCTGGCGGCAATAGCATTTCAGTTCTCCAGCGGCAGCCTCTACCTTCCCAGAGTCAAATCAGCGTCCATCTTCCTGATCCAATCCAATTATTTATTATCTATATTGACTGCCTTTTGTCCCCCTAGCTTCATTATGACTATATTTGCCACAAGATTAGGTGTGTAGGTTGTCTTTATATCAGAATAAATTGTAGTGCTTTCCCCATTTACAAATACCTGTGCTCTATTCTCAAGAGTGTTTTTTGTTTTTTGTTTTTTGTTTTTGAGAGAGGAGAGAGTGTGTGTGTATTACCAGAGATGGAATCCAGGGCCTTGCAAGTTCTCTTCCACTGGGCCCTCTTTATTTTTTTGTTTTGAAGTAGAGTCTTGAGTTTCCCAGGCTGGGCTTGAGTTCATGATCCTCTTGCCTCCAGTTCCCTGAATAGCTGGAATTATAGGAATGTACCACTGTCCCTGGCTAATCTCAGAAATTTTGATTCAATAGATCTAACATGGGCTTTAGATCTCATATTTTAAAAACCTTAACAGGTTTAAAAAAAATTATTGGAGGATCTCACTAAGTTGCTAAGGCTGGCCTCAAATTGTGATCCTCCTGCCTCAGCCTCCCAARTCTCAGGATTATAGGCATGTGCCACCATATCCAGTGACAAGTGGTTTTTGACATTAGCAAAATCTAAGAATCACCCTTCTCCTAATGTGATGAACATAGTATCCTACAAAATATTTCTAATTCAGTGATACTTGGTAAAAGTAGAATGAAAACTGAGAGGAATGCAACCTCCTGCATATCCCCACTATCCACACAAAAGGCATGGGTTTATAGCAGAGCAGAAGTATTTAGAACCCTGATCAAGTGCTATGACTTTTGCACATTCTTGCACATTCAGTAGGAAGGAATGCTGTGATGTCTGTCATKAGTTTGGGATTGGAGGAATGAGCCACGTGTCCTATGTATTTACAATGTGTATGCAGTTAAAGGCAATCACTGTCTTTAAGTTTCTCTAATTGCACAGGAAAGTATATTGCCACTCTTTGTATTCATCTTGATTTTTGCTACATTTGGGAAACAAATCTGTTATGAAATACCCCTATCCAAATTATCTCTTCATTCATTCATTTACTCATTTATTTCTTCTTTCTTTTCCCTAAAGTATGATACTATGTTATTAGAATAGTGGTCTTTTGTGTATACTTCTTATCTTCTTTTTAAAAAAATTGACCTGTGGTCCTATAAGTTTAGTATATGGCAATTTAGAAGGATGTCCTACTTTCAGTCACATTACATTTAAAAAAAAATGATGGAATATTGCTAGTTAACTCATTGGGCTACATGATCATCTGGAGGATGGCAATTACTGGCTGTGATTTTTCCCAGGTCACTTAGTTCTTTTCCTCGTCCTTTATATATGCTTAGTTAAGGAGTCAGATACGGATGTCAGCAAACTAGCAGAGGTTCAGAACGTGGGTCATGTGAGAGAGAGAGATCAGTTTCCTTTGGGCAATAAACTTATCTTCCCAGTTTCTACATTTGATGGGGATGCAGTGGGAAATGGAATGTTGGAGGATGCCTTAGGCCATTTATCAATTTGAAACATTTCCTGACACCAAAAAATATAAGATGTTTATTATAGTATACCACAATGAAAAGAGAAGAGCATCAGAAATCAAGGGATATAGGTTCAAGACCCAGCTTGTGTTGACTAACTATGACCATGTCAAGCTACTTGACCTTTTTATTTTCAAAACTTACTATTACATTAAATGAAGTAATAATCGGCTATACATAGCCCACTGAGTTATTGTAGAATCAAGTGAAAATATAGTCTGCAAAAAAACTTTTGCAGACTTGTTAATGTTACACATTGTGAGGTAATATATGGTGTATGCTGCCTTCTGTTGTCTTTCTCTTCTTTGGAAAATGGATAGATTGTGATATCTTTGCCTGATTTAAACATTTTTCATAGATTTTTAAAAAATGATTCTTCTAGGAAGCCATCTGATGGTGCTTCTACTTAGGGAAAAAAAGCTAGTGAACTATGCTGCGTTTTCACTAGAGCAGGAATAATTTCAATGATAAGTGCTCATCGGTTCTATTTTGCTTTACAGCTTGGAATCCCATCCACTGCCAGCACATTGAATGCCACAATGCAATTAACAAGCCAGCTGTGAAGGTACTGTTTTATTGGACTTGTTTCCATGTTTTATTTTCAGTGGACACATTATTAGGAGAAAATTACTGAATGAAGTGGAGAAGAGTGCATGCTTCTCTGTAAAGCAAAGGCAATAAGTTCAATCACCTATGTTCAATCTAACTGTACTTGAGCAGACTGGGTCAAGACAGAGCGATGAGTAATCATGACTGCAGTTTTTGGATATGAGTTCATGGCCAGGTATTGTGAAGCACTGAGTTGATTATCAGAAAAATCCTGGTGAAACACTTAAATGGCCCTTCTTTGGCTTCTATCTGAGCTAATAAACTCAAGGAAATGTATTTTCCCTCAGTTTTCATATGTGTGTTACAAAGTCGGAGTGCCTAATGTGCAAATGTGCAAATTCAAGAACTCTAGGGCAAAAATAGATACAATTGTGAAGTGTTGGTCAAAGTGACTGAGAGGTGTTTGGATAGCATGCATGTGGAAAGTTACATTAGAGATAAGGAAACTGTGGTCACACAGGCAGTTAGTGTCAGCACTGGGGTCAGAATTCTTTTCTTAACATCAGATCAGTGTGGTCCTGCTAAAGCCCCAAATCTAGGATGTTGAATGTTAGAGAAACAATCATATCCTTTAATAAAATTGTGTGTGGTGTATTTGTTGAACATAAAACACTTGGCTGGATAGATTCGTGTCTGCATTTGTAAGGGTTAAATGTCAAATGATGAGGAGTTGGTGTAGCTGAAGTTACTGGAGTTCACAGTTACTTTTAGAACTACTGTCATGAGAGTTTGTTTCCCTTTGTCTATAGAGAGATGGTGAAGATGATCAAATAATTGAAAATCATACTATCACTTTAGAAAAACAAAGAATGGTTAAAATGAGATCTAATAAATATAAAAAKAACCAAAAATGTATTTTGCCACCAAAAGTGGCAACCAGGTGCCAATAACAACCTGGTAATCTCAAGATATCATAACTGCCTCTGATGAAGGCAGATTTAATGAACGTTGACAAAGAGCAGACGATACTGACCTGCCAATGGAAGTGTGGGCCCGCCCATTCCACCATGTGCACCTCCTATTTCAGTAGGCATTGGGGTTCACAGGTACTTTGTGGTGAGGTATTTTGAGCTAAACACATGTGAGATCATAGATTATTCAAGAAGTTCAGCTTGCTTAATTTTTCACAGGGATGAGATGTGCATGGTTCCTTCTTACTTTTATTTCTATATCCTTCCTTCCGTCTGCCTGTTACAGGTTTCTCTAGTTATTTTTTCCTAGAGTTTATGTCAGACCGCATCCTCAGGAGTGCTCTGACATCTGTTACTAATGCTTTCTAGCCTTCTAATCACAGAAATAAATCAGGAATTAGATTTTCTCCTCTTTTAGGCAAACAGCCTAGTCCATTCCTCTAGGTTGGGCTTAAATTTTCTCCTCAAAGCCAGTCCTCTAGGATAGGTCAGATCACCCTACTTTCTGTCATTTAAAAAATTGAGGTAAAATTCACATACCATAAAATTAACAATTTTGAACTGAACAATTCAGTGATATTTGGTACATTCACACAACTCCTAATTTTATTTAGTTCCAAGACATTTTCATCACCAAAGTCTCATGTGTCGATCTCTAGTTTTCCTAAAGAACTCTCTTTTCTATTTTAACCCTACACTTTCCAGAAAGGTAACATTCTTGTGACTGCTTCCTGTATGTAGACCTGGTATTGTTCTGTATTTCCCGTGTGAGTGCTTGAAAGCATGCATCATACCATGAGACATTCAGATCAAAAGTATCCAACATCCAGATACTTACAAAATTACATTAAGTGAAAATCAAAGTTATGATATTGCATAATATGCTAGTTTAGTTTAAAATATCACATCTAYACATATTCACAGTAAAAAAACCAAGATGAACTCATTGGAATGTTACAGGCAATGGATCAGGATGGAGAGTTAATGAGTTATTTGAATTTCCTTCTTTTTCTTCATTTCCTGAGCCTCTGTAATGGGCAAATATTTTATTCATAAACAGAAACAGTCATTTTTTAATGCAACATCCAGATATGAACTCATTAGGAAAGGTGTCAACTGCTCTGTTTAGAATAGAACAGAATTGACTCTATTGCCCAGAAATCTGGTGGGTCATGTTAATTAAGTCACTTAACAAGGTAAGTGGTCAACCAGCTAATCTCTAGTGACTCTAGTGCTAACATCCTAGGGAGTTTTTCCTTTTGAGTGGAACACCTGGCAGAGGTATCAATGAATTGTTAGAAATGAGAGTAAGGTAATAATGCTCAAGACAAAGTATAGATGAGGTGCATGGGAAAGACTCAGGAAAAATGGATTAATCCTTTCCAAAAGGTTGAATTTCCATAATGCCACCAGGCTCTCATGGTTTTCCAACTAGGAAAGCATTATCTATTTTTGTTAAAATAGGGTGCAAAAAAGTAATTTTTAAGTAAAAGTTAACAGCTTCAATAAATAAGGTTAATGTTAAAAATATACTGGAACTTATGGTTTATGATATCACCCTCTGCTTTTGGTTTTACTTGGTTCTGTTTGAAGTCCTCTTTATGAAGTACTCTGAATCCCAGATAATTATTTTAAGACAGGGGTTGGGGCCATCTATGATCCATAGCCGAATCTGGCTGGATGGTTGTTTTTGTAAGTAAAGTTTTATTGGAACACATCTATTCTCATTTGCTTTTGTTTCATCTAAGGCCACTTTCATGCTATATCCGTGGAGTTGAGTAGTTGTAACAGAGACTGTATGGCCCACAAAACTTAAAATATTTACTTTTTGGTCATTCATAGAGAAATTGTGCTAATCTCTGATTTAACAAAAAGTAGTTATTCATTATTGCATATAAGGAATCATGAAACTTACACAACCAGGCCTTTAGTATCTGGTAATACATAATTGACAATTTTGATGGTGTGTTGATTTAAATTTAGCAATTCTAACTATTATTTTCCCAACCACTGAAACTCATCAGGGTTTTAATTGAATTGCAGTCTGTTTTGGGTTGTAAATTTGGGTCATTTTCCCCTTTCAAATCAATGAAAACAACTAAAGAAGAGAGTAAAATTTTAGAAGAATTTGTATATTAGACATTCATTGTGTCATTTGGTATAGCATGGGTTGATTATTTCTTGAAAGCCGGGAACAGAATTTGAAATGACTTTGAGAAATCATTGTGATTTAAATTGAAGCCAAGTACAGAATGCAGCTAATCATCTGAATGTGTTCCCCTGATCTAAAACATCCAGGTATTTGAAATATCCTGACACTCAACTGTGAAGTGAACACTTTTCATCAGTGCTTGGGTTAGTGAAACCCCAGCCATAAACAACAAAGCATTGGGGGTGAAAAATTGTAGGTCATGTGTAGAAAAAATAAAAAACATGAAAATGAAATGTTAGATGACTTTAACAGAGCTAAGATTCCAGAGTAAGAAGAGTGAACTACTCAATGCTAGATTTATGCTATTTTTTCTGAATGGGTCTTAAGAAGCTAAGTTCTCTTCTGCCAGCAGGTTCATGTCATTTGTGATTTTAAGATCTAAATAATAATATATTTTCCTTTTTTAAAAGGGAGATTACTGTCTTTATTTTAAGCAGCCATTGAATAGATGATTTTTTATCTTTGTGGAATGTGGGTGGGTTTCTTGACACTGTTTGTTCTTTAATTGCAAATAACAGGAGAAATAAAAACCCACCACAGCCACGATTAATGTCTCAGTGTGCACTCAGTGAGCGTGGTATGAGCAGTCACAGGTCAAATGGGTTTGACTAATATCTACTCCACTTTGCCTGTGGGAATGTGTCACTCACTGTGAAGCACTCATCTCATCAGAGTTCATCTGTCTTTTCTTGTGTTTCAGATGTGTATAGACCCTTCCCTGTCAGTTGCTTTGGGGGATAAACCACCCCCATTGTATCTCTGTGAAGAATGCAGTGAGAGGATTGCAGGGTAGGTATAGGACTCTCAATGGGAAAATAAGAAAAAATTATTTGGACCTAAATTGCTTATATTACACAGCTTTCCCAGTAGCCTTGCCATGCTTTTTGTTTTTTAATTTTTATTTTTGTAGTTATAGATGGACAGAATGCCTTTATTTTATTTGTTTAATTTAATGTGGGGCCGAGGATGGAACCCAGTGCCTCATGCATGCTAGGCAAGGGCTCTACCACAGAACTCCAGCCCCAGCCCCTTGCCGTGTTTTTTAAAGGTTCATTTGACATTTAACATGTAGCAAAGTGTCATTTAGAAGATTACAGCTTTGTTTGCAATGTTTTTCTCCATGTGACACGAGAAAGCAATTCCACTTAATAAAGCAGCTCTAATTTTGAAGTAGCCTTTTAAAAAGGCCTCAGAGAAAAATAGATGTAAAAGGAGACTGTGGTTTCCAAATATGACATGCAATTCAAGTGGTTTCTCTTTGCTTGTTATTTTTGCAGTCACACTCGGTTTTGTGAAGATCGTGCAGTATTTTGGTTGGCATAATTAGCATCTGGAAAGTATCATTTAAAGATAACTGAATATGATGAATGCCTATAATTTATAATTTAGCTGGAATGCATTAGAGTTTTAAAAGTTTATTATGATAGTGCTCTTAATTATCCTTTCTATTAGAAGCCTTTCAACAATAGTGTGCAGCTTATAAACATTCATGTGGAAGGGGAGCATTTCAATGAAGCTCAAAAATGAATTTTATTTTTCTTTATAGGGACCACAGCGAGTGGTTGATTGATGTTCTTCTGCCACAAGGTATGGTTTACTTCAGAAAGTGTGAATAATGAGTAATCACAACTAATGACATGGTTGATTTATCTCCCTTTGTGCTATTTTATTTTACAAAGACAGTAACCAGAGAATAATATCCCATGAATATTCATTGGGATATTCATTTTATCAGTGTCTTGGTATTATATATCCAAACATTTAATAATGAGGGGCAAAGTATCAACTCTATCAGAATTAAGGTTAGATGTTGCAGTTAGGCTTCTGTAGGACTAAAGCCCTGCTGAATTGTGTCGTAAGGGATTTTCTGTGTATATAACAGGTTTATCGATGATATTTTGTTGTGCCAGGTCAGAAAGAATAAAAAAAACACCAGTGGGAAGAGAATTTAATAATGGGCCTTTTTCTTGACACTATATTTTGGGGGAATGACCTTTAATTGCTCTGAGACTCAGGTTCCCTAACACTAAAATGGGGATAAAGTACATCTAACCCATTTCAATGGAAAGACAAGATTTTTGACACACTTTTTTTTTTTTTGATACCAGGGATTAAACCTAGGGGCACTTAACCACTGAGCCACATCTCCAGCCCCTTTTTATATTTTATTTAGAGACAGGGTCTCACTGAGTTGCTTAGGGCCTTGCTAAGTTGCTGAGGCTGGCTTTTAACTTGTGATCCTCCTGCCTCAATTTCCCGAGCTGCTCAGATTACAGGCATGTGCCACCATACCTGGCCTGCAACACTTTTTGATGTTTGTTTCAATTCTGAAAGTTGTGTTTCAAAAGTTGATTGATCCGGGCTGGGGATGTGGCTCAAGCAGTATTCTTGCCACYTCATTGGTGGCTACAATGACAAGGGAAAAGTACTTAGCAAAGCAGAGAAAGACAAAGGGTGGGAAAAGCTGGGGACATAGTGAGTATAGATCAATGACACAGGAAGAATTGATATCTGATTTAGTATGTAGATAGTAAAAGGATTTATATGAAAGGCTCATTTAAAAAAAAGTTAAAACCTTATGTTAATAAATTCTGTGACCATTTAAACAACAGCCTTAAGGCATTTTCTCAATGATAATTACACTACTTCTTTGTAGTCTTACTTGCTCTCTGTAAAATAGAGCGATATGTCAGTCTTTATTTCCTTCAAAAGGACATTGTGAAAAGTTATATAAGGTTATGTAAAGGCTTGGGCCTGTAGAAGGCTTGGGCTTGTATTATGGGTAAAGGTAATTTTTCCCCCTTAAACTGGGCTACTTTATTAGTGAGCTTCCAGTGCTCTGAGGTAAAGCTGATAGTCAAGTACTAATAAACTTACTTTCTTCCTTCCTTCCTTCCTTCCTTCCTTTCTTTCTTTCTTTCTTTCTTTCTTTCTTTCTTTCTTTCTTTCTTTCTTTCTTCTTTCTTTCTTTCCTCCTTTCCCTTTCCCTTTCCCTTTCCCTTTCCCATTAGGCCTCTCAATGTTGTATGTTGCCCAGGCTGGCCCTAAACTCCTGTGCTCAAGTGATTCCCTTGCCTCAGCCCCCAAGTAGCTGGGACTATAGACATGTGCCACTGTGCCCAGCTTTTAAAATATATTTTAAATATAAGATATGTTGCTGAATTTTGGTCATCATTTGTTGATGACATTCATCTTTGGAAGAATTGATCATAACTTTTTTTTTTTAAAGAGAGAGAAAGAACTTTTTTAATATTTATTTTTCAGTTTTTGGTGGACACAACATCTTTATTTTATTTTTATGTGGTGTTAAGATTGAACCCAGCACCCCACGAATGCCAGGCGAGTGTGATACCACTTGAGCCACATCCCCAGCCCCAAATCATAACTTTTTATTATTTATCTARAGATAAGACACTAACCTCAGATTATTTAAGGATATCAAACTGTTAAATTACCATTAGTTATACAAAAGCAGCTTTAAGACTGAGTTATACATTTCTTTGACTTGGCATCTACTAATTCATAATTTGCAAACAGTTTGGGGGGACATTTACCTTTAATCTTTAAATAAATCGTAACATAGACCATCCTATAACAAGGCGTTAGTCCATTTTTTTTAAGTCCTTACCGTTTCAAGGAAAATGCTAATAGATTTTTGGAAAAATTATTTTCAGGTATTTTTCTTAAGCATCAATTTCCATGGAACTAATTGGTATGCCCACTAAAAAGATTTTTATGAATTTGTTGAAGTTAATTCTGTAAGTAGACAGTAGTTTGATGGCCTTACTCCAACTGGTCTACCCTTTGGTTTGAGAATTGGTTTATCTTGTATAACCATACAGCTGGTTTTACATGAGTTAAGTCTGGTATAAATTGATAGTTCAAGCGTAAGTAGACCAAGGTAGTAGGCTTTTTCTACACTTTACATATAGCAGAGCATCGCATGATAGCAATCTAAATATATCATATCAAACCAGTATCATAGTGTATTGGATAAACCAGCAAATAGGGGATGTAGGAACTGTACCTATACATATGTCTCTATCATTGATAGGCTGTAAGATCTTGAAGAATTCATCCAACCATAGTGGCCTTAATTTTGTCCTCTATAAAATGAGGAGGTTAAAATTAAAGTTGTTTGACTTTAATGTGATCTGATTTCTAAGTCATAACTGAGAAAATTGGGTTAGTTGTGAGACTAGGTGACATATTTGCTGCATGCAGGTGTTTCTAACTTTATTAAACATAAACCCTGATATCACTATCAGGTAAGAAAGAGATATTTTATACTTTAGGAGGAAAATAGAGTCCAGGAAAAGTAGATGACAACTTATGAGATAAGTCCAAAGCTGTTTAGCTGAGTTTCAAGGTTGTGTGAATTATGGTTGTTTTTTAAAAATTATCCTTCACGGCTGCCCTTATTTAAAATGGGCTTTCTTTCTTTGTTGATATTTTGTGTACCTTCCCCTTACAGCTGAAATATCTGCCATATGTCAGAAAAAGGTAAGAGCCAGCCATCTGTGTGGTGGGGCATGGTTTTCTGTGTTTGTATGTCAATTCGTGCATTGACATCTGCCTCTTTCTGCACCATGGTTTCCTAGTTTATTCATGTCATTGTATTTGTGAAGAGAAAAAGGAAATAATTTAGCATGCAATATTGTGATATTAAAATTGTCTCTATTTCCATCACTGCTTTTGCTTACCCATCTTACATACAATGTTTTTGTAAAGTAATTTGAAATAAAAGCATATATATAATTCTGAGATAGTCTAATTATAAAAACATTTGAATGACAATGCAATTCATAGAACTTAACTTTAGTAAAGAATGTATCTTATATATTAACAATCTTTATTATTTTGAGATGTAGTATGAATAGTCTAGTATATATGTGTAAAAACATATCCTGATCAAGTATATATGGAAAATATTCATTTATATGGAAATTAAACAATGACCCTCGCTAAAGACTCCTCTAAAATTTCCCTTAGCCACTTTTCATAGTTTATCTAAGCCATTTCTATTTTCTATTCTTGTTTTAGTGGTTTAAAAGTTATGAGAAGATTATTATAGTCATACAAAGAGCTTTGATGAGTTAGTTGAGATGCTTGGGTTCTTTCCAGCTCTGTTCTCTCTTACCTTTGTGGACCTTGTACGACTCATTTAAACATTTTTGGAGGTTGATTATGAGCAGGTATCTTTGGAAGGCTGTCTTGGTTATTTATTATTGCATAACAAACTATACTAACATGTAGTGGCTAATAACAACAACCAAGTTGGACAAATTGACCTATGCTCAACTAGGTAGTTCTTTATAAACTCTTAGGCTCATTGATATAGTTGCGTAAGTTGGTGTGTGGGTTGACAATTGGCTGGTTCCAGATGGTCTTACTCCCATTGTCATGTCTGGGGTCTTAATTGGTTGCCTGGATGGTTGGGATGATGAGGAATATGGGCTTCCTCCTTTCTAGGAGATGTCTCATCCTTCATGGGGCTGGGCTGGACTTGTTTACAAAGCAGCAGTGTTCTGAGAGAGGGAGAGGTGGTTGCAAGGCCTCAGAGACTTAGAAGTCTGTGTCAGTTCTGTTGCTTTTCATTGGTCAAAGAAAGTCCTGAGGTCAGCCCAGATTCAAGGAATGGGGAAATAGGATCCTCATGGTTATAAAAGGATTGGTAATATTTAATCCACCATAATCTACTATTTAGCTATAACTAAATTTTTCCATATGTAAAATATACTCACCACTTTACAATGCCCCCCCTTCCCCCACCACAAATCTTATCCATTTATGGCTTTAAGCTTAAAGTTCAATACCTCATGATATGATATGATCACCTATGAAATTCCTTGGGTACAAATTCTCTTTATTCAGAGACCCATGAACTACAAAGGAAGATTATCTGCTCCCTGCACATCCAAGACACAATGGTGAGATAAGTATAGGATTACAGCAATAAACCTCTGTTCAGAAAGAGGAAGAGGATACAGTTGGCAGTCCCTGGTGTATAGCAGCTCCAGCCATGAACATGTCAGCAGCTGCTCACTGTCTTCCAGGGATGGCAGATGGGTCTTTATTAGGGTCTTGTTTTAATTCCTGAGAGTAGTTCCCTAACCTATCCCTGCTCCTGAGGTCTTGTCCCCACTCTCTAAGATATCTTTCTTTTATAATTAGAAATGTCCTGTGCTGCAGCAAGTAACTCAATTGGCTTCCTGTGTAGAAGCTGGGGTTCCACATGCCATTTTTTTTTTCATTTTGGATTGTGTTTGTATGCTTTAGTTTTAGCTTGTGGTGTTTTTGCTAATATGATTCCTAAAAACTTTGGGATTTTCAATGAATCTAATTGGGTTTTGGGTCCCCAAAGCTACATTTATAATTATTTTTGAGAAAGATTTTTTTTCTATCGTTGAGCATTTCATACTGTACCTAAAATTATTATAATCCCTTTTCTAGCCACAAGGTTTAGCTGTGCACACCTTATAGCTTTCTGAAGTCTTAACAAAGAATCTTCTATTAACAGAGCACACTCTTGATTTGATCTTGATCCTGAGGCCTTTTTTTGAGATTTTTTTTTACAAGTTTGAAAGACTATGATATGAAGGTTGTATTTTTCTTGTTTTGTGATGCTGAATCCCTGTGCATGCTTCAGAAATGTTCTGCTACTGAATTACATCCCCAGATCAAGTTTTATTTTCCAAATCAGTATGTCTTCTGGTGTCATACCTAACATATTTGAAACCCAAATTTGATAATTTTTTAATACTTCTGTTTCCATGACAAATTTATTTTTAGTAATATGCTTTAAATTAGCACATTTTATTATTCACCCTTTAATAAATGTTATATTTTATAGGAAAGTTAATTTGGATAGCTTCCATTAAGTTCATAATAGTTCAGAATTGTTTGAACTTGCTTTGGGCACAGTTTTTGCCTCTAACTTTTTGGTATGACATATTCCTACCATTGAATAGTAGGTTTGAAATAAATAATGTTAGTATCATGATTGAAAGTTAAAGACCTTGATTTATTTCAGTTCTGTCATTATGAGACCAGTTGGAACTGCATATATTCCTTGGCTTGCATGGGGTTATATCCTGAAAAACCATCATAAGATGAAAAAGCATCTAATACATTTAGCTTGCCAAATATCATAGCTTAGCCTAGACCACCTTAAATGTGCTCAGAATACTTATATTAGCCTACAATTGATGGCAAAGCCACCTAACATAAGGTCTATTTTATAATAAAGTATTAAATATCTCATATAATATATTGAATACTGTGCTGAAAGTGAAACAGAGATTGGTTATGTGGGTATACTTTCTCACCAAATTAAAAAAAAATTTAGATTGAGCCATTCTAGAGTTGGGAACTGTTTGTGTTTATGTATGTCTAAAATTCAAAGCAGTAAAACAGAGTGACTGGAGTGAATATTTGAAAACTGCACCCAGGTCAATCTGTATCTAAGGGGAAATCTCTTCAGTTTACTTTGGAAATGAATGCATACAATTGAGTGCACCATCATTCCTATACAGCTGGCAATAAGGGCTATAGATGTCAAAGTAGACACTGGAAATTTATTGTAAGGCCGCGCATCTGTTGCTAACATTAGTGATATTCATGTCTCCACCCCCTTTCTTTTCAGAGATGCTAGAAAATGATTGGGACACTTCAGGTTCGCAGAGTAGAGACCATGGTGCTCGGCAATACTCCCAACTTAGCCAAGTAACAGCAAATCTCTTCTTACACATGATTTAGCCCCACCCAAGCCTCAAAAATACTTTAACACATAGAATAGAGGAGACAAAAACCCCAAACCAAGGAGGAACAACTAGAGGGGGACCTCAGGTCCCACTCCTGGACATCTACTCATACATCAAAAATGGAGAGATGTCCCAGAACAAAAAAGATGACTACACACAAAAGGACACATGCATAAAAGAGAAGGGGGCACTCATTTCAATCAATACACAAATCCAATATTTTCTTAAAAATATATTTATTTATTTATTTTTATGTGGTGGTGAGGATTGWACCAAGTGCTTCACACGTGTGAGGCAGGCGCTCTGCCACTGAGCTGCAGGCCCAGTCCCAAATCCAAGATTTTTGAAAACATGAGGAAATAGGCAAATAATCTCCCTCCAAATTCATTATCCCCCAACAAAGAATCCCACAGTTATGGATGAAATTCCACTGATTATTAAAATGTTCATTGAACTAAGAGAAGATTTAAGGAATGAACTAAGAGATCAAATACAGGAGATGAAAGGCCATTTCAATAAATAGAGATAATGAAAATAAACCTATCAAAAGGAAATCCTAAGGAAGTACATTTCTTTACAGAGCTGTGTCATACCATCCTTTGGGCTCTCTGCTAGAAAAGTGGAATGAAGTCTCAAATAATTGCCTTTTTAATTGTATCCTCAGGTATTATAGATGTAGGATAGTACTGTATCATACTCTGTGAATGTAAAACCTCTTGTACCTGCTTTATAATACATAGTAGTGAATGTACTTTATCAGAGCTGTTTTTAATGATGTTACTCTAGAATATTTTCTTTTCAGATGATGATTGAGAAGCTAATATAAAGTGGTTTTAAAAAAAAGAAACCTATCAGAACTCCTAGAAGACACAAGGAATCAAGATTCACTTGAAAGCATCACCAACAGATTAGATTGCATAGAAAACAGAACTTCACACCTTGAAGATAGAACYTAAGGCCTTGAAGATGGGATATATGAACTTGAATACTCAGTATGTAATAAAGGAAAAAGAAAAAGGACCATGATCAGAATATATAAGAACTCAGGGATGGCATCAAGAGAACAAACCTGAGAGTCATTGGGATAGAAGAGAACATGGAGATACAGGCTGAATGTGTTGAGAATATTTTCAGTTAGATAGTAACAGAAAAATTTCCCCATATTAGAAATGAGATAGACATCCACTTATAGGAAGCATACAGGACACCAAACAGAAAAGGTCAAAACAGCTTTTCTAAGACACATCATAATTAGAATGCCTAACATGTAAAATAAGGAAAGAATATTAAAAGTTGCAAGAGAAAAGTACCARGTCATATTTAGCGACAAACCAATAAGTCTCACTTCTGACTTCTCAACTGAGATCCTAAAATCAAGAGGGCCTGGAATGAGATATTTCAAGCTCTAAAAGCAAACAATTTCCAGCTATGACTGCTATATCCAGCAAAGCTACTTTTCAAAATAAAAACTTTCCGTGACAAGGATAAACTAAAAGCTCCATGATCACTAAATCAGCACTACAAAGAATACTTAAAGATATACTGCACATAAAGGGACCCCCCCAAAAACCCCAAAGTTCTCAAATAGATGAAGATCAATAGAAAAGCAACAAGCTAAATGAAAATAAAGATGGAATTAAATACAGCAAATAAACCTAAATGGCATAAAACAACACATATTTGTGGTAACACTGAATGTAAATGGTCTCAACTTTCCAATTGAAAGAAATATATTAGCAG